CTTGATATTTCCAATCGCCTGGTATGCATGTGAGAGCTGGACAATGAATAAGGAAGACAGAAGAAGAGTTGATGCTTTTGAGTTGTGGTGCTGGCAAAGAATGATGAAAGTGCCATGGACTGCTACAAGAACTAACAGATCTGTCCTGGAGGAAGTGCACCCAAAATGCTCCTTGGAAGCAAGAATGGCCAGACTTCATCTCACCTATTTTGATCATTGTCAGATGGGACCATTCCCTGGAGAAGGATGTCATGCTTGGTAGGGTGGAGGGTCAATGAAAGAGGGGGAGGCCTTAAATGAGATGGATTGACACTGTGACTGTGATGATGGGCTCAAGTATAGCAGGGATCATGGAGCTGGCACAGGATCGGGCAGTGTTTCGTTCTGCTGTGCATGGAGTCGCTATGAGTCAGAAATGACTTGATGGCACCTAACAACAACAACAACAAAATTGACTACCATCTCTCCCCAAATTTGGTGTTAGTTAGTGGCCCTGAAACCTCAATTCTCTAATTAGTTCAATAAAAGTCCTTTATTTTCAGTTTATCCAGATTTTTCTTTGGTGTAAGAGTGGAACTGATGTCTTTTCTAGTTATCTACATCCCCAAATTGAAACCAGAAGCATAGGACTGTTTTAAAACAACAACAACAAAAAAAAAAAAAAACATGATGTTTCTGAGAGTGTTTGTTTTCCAGCTTCCAGTTATCATTGACTTGAGGAACCCAACTTTGAAGGCTAGACATTGGGCAGCTATTGAACAAACAGTTGATGCCACCCTAGTGGACCTTGAAATGCCACTAACCTTAGAGAAGCTCTCAGAGTTGCATGTTTTTGACTTTGGCCAAGAAATTCAGGACATTTCTGGACAGGCTTCTGGAGAAGCTTCCTTAGAAATAATTCTTAAGAAGGTAAGGCTGAAAAATATATATTCTGATTATTATGGAAAGTAAGATTTTTCAGATTCAGAATGAAGATTGCCAACTTTTGCATAACTGAATGGATTTTTAACATTGCAGCTTTATCTTCTCATTGTTGTTCATCCCTGTTATTTGTTTATATTTATTATCATGAGGATTATCACCTCTGTAAATCTCTTCTTTCTACTTGGTCTATAGCTCAATAAGAAGTTGATGGTAACATGGTTTGAAATTGTCTGCCCATATAAAGACCCACAAAGCAAGGACAATCTTTTAAACCAAAATAAATTAAATTCCCAACTACCAGAAAAGACTGTGTGAATGCTTTGAAAGGCATTACAACTTCCCTGCTTCCTCACAAACTACCTCCTCACCTTAAAAATATATGCACAGCTACAGATTCATTACCTAAATGGAAATTTCTTCTTTTTAGTTAAAGTATAAAATGGTGGTAAATAACATGTTAAATTCCCCAGGTTATTCATGCATATTAAAATTACTTAGATAAAATTAAGGAAATCAATGGCATCTAACCAAGAAAAAGGATTTTAAGAATTTTAAGGACAGTAAGAGAATAATATAATTATGGAGTTTTTATTTATTTCATATGCTACTCATTTATTGAGTGCCTAAACAAAGAATTAATTTAGATATCTTAAGGATTTGATTGTTTCTAAGGTGGAGGATTCTTGGAAAACAACTGAATTTGTCATTCTGCCTCACCGTGACTCCAAAGACGTATTTATCCTCGGTGGCACAGATGACATACAGGTAGGCAACTTGGTTATTACCAACTTATTATAAGGATTCTGGCCAGATCTAACTCTAATTGTCTGTGGAAGGTTCTGGTGAAGTAATGAAATATGAGAGTCATGGAATAAAAAAATTGAGAAGCCAAGATATGAATAGTATATGTCGTTGTTGTTGTGTGCCGTCAAGTCGTACCTGACTCATAGCAACCCCTCCCTGGGTTGCCGAGGCAGTATCACTATGGAAGTAG